TACGTGTACAAGGTGCTGAAGCAGGTGCACCCGGACACCGGCATCTCGTCCAAGGCCATGGGCATCATGAACTCGTTCGTGAACGACATCTTCGAGCGCATCGCCGGCGAGGCGTCGCGCCTGGCGCACTACAACAAGCGCTCGACCATCACGTCGCGGGAGATCCAGACGGCCGTGCGCCTGCTGCTGCCCGGGGAGTTGGCCAAGCACGCCGTGTCCGAGGGTACCAAGGCCGTCACCAAGTACACCAGCTCCAAGTGAGTCCCTCCGGGGCTCGGCGCGCAGCAGTCCCTTTTTCCTAAAGGCTCTTTTCAGAGCCACCCACTTTGTCATTGGAAGGAGTTGTCAACCTTGTGTGTCTCTTAGCGGCCCCTCTGGTGTATTAGTTGTCTTTAGTGAAATAGCACAAGCTTTCCTGTTGTTCCTCTCAGCTGTTGACACTGTAAGTACAGCTTTCTTGGCGCTGTTACATTGGTCTTAGTGTGCATGGGATGGGGCGGGGGGATCGATTCATTCAGTGTTCTTTGGCTATATTGTTAATCCCTTTATTTCCTTTTTTTCCCTTTCTCTGAAGTAGATAACATTGAGTTGCTAGTGGACTGCTGTATCCTAAGCTTCCAGTGCGGGAAAGCGACAGTGGTTTTCTGTGGTAAAATAGGGGACTTTTGGGGTGGGAGGGTTGGTGGTCTTTTTAGATTATGTCATTTCTTTCCAACCTCTTGCTACAATTCAGGTTTTCTCCTGCTTGAAATGCTGCACAAACTTTCATATATGGTGACAGTTTTCCCATGAACTTTTTCTTAAGCTTGTTATATTTAAGGATTGTGCACTGTGTCAACAAAATACCCTCGGTTTATTAATGTAGAGTTTGGAATGCTTGGGAGTTGAAGGCTCCAAGGGCAAGTGATTGTTTTGAGCTTTACAAAAGGAGGATTAGTAACTTTATGCGGCATTTGCTTTTTACTGGTCATAGTAGAAGCAAGAAAACCAGATAGTAGGTGAGAGTGGTATGTTTTGTGCTAGAGTGATTCTTGAAGTATGGTCTCCAGTGTTATCTGAGGGTGGCTTTTTGTTATTTTACTTTTTTTGTGTGGATGCTTTCTGGTCTTAGTAGTTAATGTTAAGCTCTGGAGGATTCTAACATGCAGTAACGTTTACCACTGGGTAGATTGCATGGGGAATTGAAGCATACTGATTGTAATATGGGAAGGCACATGGAGTATTGATAATACCTTGGAGGCAGAATTGCAGCTTTTGCTGACGACTAGGTATTTTAAATAAGAAACCTCTAGGTTTTGGCTTCAGCAACTGATTAGACAATTGTGCTGTTATAGGGAATACTGGAATTTTAAGTTGGGTTGAAGAAGGAAAATCCAGAGTTCTGATTTAAACCTTTTAAGTATTGTTGAAGAGAGGAAACTGGTGATTGTGTAATTGGAATCTTAAGCTATAAGCTTAATTAACTCCAAGGGGTGCGGGTGCCCGTGGCTCACGCCTGTAATCCTAGCTACTCAGGAGGCTGAGATCTGAGGATCTCGGTTCAAAGCCAGTCAGGGCAGGAAATTCCGTGAGACTCTTATCTCCAATAAACCACTCGAATACCGGAAGTGGCGCTGTGACTCTAGCGAGAGAGCGCTTGCCTTGAGCTGAAGAGCTGAAGGACAGCGCCCAGGTCCAGAGTTCAGGCCCCACGACCGACCAAAAAGAAAAAACAAAACCTCCAAGGGGCTCCATGTGTCATATCTCACCCCTTACCCCAATATGTCAGATAAAGAGACAATAATAAAAAACAGAGAACGGGGACTTATTAATATAGCATGGGTACTATGCAGGAAGAAGCAAGCAAGCACTTCAGCCCATCACCCTCATATAGACATCTGATTTAGGTTTGAATGGAGAAATAACTGGGGGTGCATATATGCATAATTATTAAGTCGAAGTTATAGACACTTATGCTCAAAGGTGATCTAATTTGCTCATTATCTTAGAATTGGTCAGGTGGGACCTTGTAACAGGTACTGAAAAGGTTGCTTTTGCTTTAAAAAAAAAAGGGGGAGGGCTGAGAATGCAGCTTAGTGGTAAGGTGCTTGGCTAGCATTCGTGAAGCCCTGGGTTCAATTCCTCAGTACCACATAAACAGAAAAAGCCGTAAGTGGCACTGTGGCTCAAGTGGTAGAGTGCTGCTCTTGAGTAAAAGCAGCTCAGAAACAGTGCCTAGGCCCTGCATTCAAGGCCTAGGACTGGGTGAAAAAGTACTACTTCTTGGGACTCTTAAGTGAGCTAAAAAGCAAGATCTGCATTTTGTATGTCTTTGTTCTGAGCTGTTGGTCTTGTAGCTATCTTGGAAATCAGCAGTGTCAAGACTGATCCAGTGAGGTCTTTACAGAGACAAGGAAACCTCTGTAAGGAAAGGAGCATCAGGACTTCTGCAGGAAGTTGTTAAGCAACAATGATGCTAATTCTACCCCCTGAGACTGTGGGCTACCTGACCACCTGAGGCCACCTATGACCACAAGAACCCTTCTGACTGTGTACTTACGAATTATGCATACCTTTCCTTACCCAATTCTTCCTCTGTTTCAACCTAAAGCAAATGTGCTGGGAAGATGGCTTCAGATATCTCTTTACCTCTTCCAGAGGTGTTCCTGTTTCACATCACTTAAATCTCTTCTGGAACTGGGGTACATGTTGCTCACATCTGTCATTCTATACATTCCAAAGGCTGAGACCTGAGCTCACACTTTGAAGCCAGCCTGAGCACAAAAATCCCCAAGAGTTTTTCTCCAATTATGAGGCAAAAAGCTAGAAATGGGGGTGTGGCTCAAATGGTAGAATGCCAGCATTGAGTAAAAAAGCTAAATGGAGAACTTGAAGCTGAATTCAAGCCCCAATACCAGCAAAAAATAAAATGTAGAACCCTCTTTGTCTCTTTGATTGTATTGGGGTTAGTGTCTGAACCTGACCTCTAAAACCCAGAAGTTTGAGTCTGGGACTCTTGTAACATTGTTAAAATAAGAAGCATTGTAGCTGAGAAAATGTTTATCATCCCTGGTCCTAAAGGAAATGCAAAAAAACCCAATCCAAAACAACAACAACAACAACAACAACCCAGAGATATCACCTTACCCCAGTCAGAATGGCCTATATCCTAAATTCAAACAGGTACAAATGCTGTACCTTTCTCTGCAGGGATACAGAGAAAGAGGAACCCTACTGCACTGTTGGTGGGAATGTAAACAAATACAACCACTCTGGAAAGCAGTCTGTACCTTCCTCAGAAAACTAAACAGACCTCCCCTTCGACCCAGCCATCCCACTCCTAGGCTAATATTTACCCTGAGCAACAGGAACCTGGATACAAGCAAACCTGCACCTCCATGTTCATTGCTTCACTGTTTACAATAGCCATGATATGGAAACAACCCAGATGCCCCACTACAGATGAATGGATCCATAAATTCTGGTACCTACATACAATGGAATATTATACAGCCATTAGAAAGAACAAAATAATGGCATTCACAGGGAAATGGAACTAGAACAAATCATCAGGTTAAGCAAAATAAGCCAAGCCCAGACAGTCAAATGGCATAGTCTCCCTGATGTGCACATTTTAAATACAAAATGCAACGAGATATGGCAAAGTAAACAGGACTCAAGAAACAAAGGACCTATTCTTAGTGTGCCATATTGTTTTTAGATGACTTTGTTCTTGACCCCAGGGTATGTATATGTGCACATATGAGGGAAGCTAAGAGGAGGGCACAGAATCAGAAGAAAATAGGTAATAAAATGGGTCCATCAACTGCACTGGACATTGATGAAAGTGAACTAAACAACTAAAGGGCAGCGATAGGAAGGAGGGAATAGGAAAAAGGGAACAGAGTACACTAAGTACAAGGACAGAAATGCATATATCACCCAATTTGGAAGAAATAGTTGTATTGTCAAAGTTCATAAAAGTTCACAAGCTTTATAGACCATGATAATGAAAATTCGCCTTGTGAAGGTTAAAATGTGTTTGTTATTTTAGCTAAGTATCACTGTCCCACAATATTGTGAACTATGTATAATCAAAGAAATTTAAAGGAAGCATTGTAGCCTGGAAGTGACTCACCTTTGCCCCTTCTTTTTTAATGAGAGAAAGAGAATAAATGGTTCCATGAAAGAAAACAAGTACTGTGTTTTTATTGTTTTTATTTTTATTTTGGGGGATGGGTCTTAGGGATGGAACACAATACCTCATATGTATTTGGCACATGTTTCAACAGTAAACTCAAAGCGCCTACCACTTCCCCACCCCCAATTTAAACAACACTAGCTGCTTGTCCTCTCTGGAGGACAGCTTGTAATGATCAGACCTGGGTTCTCGAAATTCTTCTTTTTGGCCTTACCCAAGATGACCATAAAGTATCTACTACAATGTAGGGAATTGTACAGATATCAACATTTGTTAGTCAGAAGCCTCCTCCCTCATAGCCTAACACGCTCTTTCCCAAGGCAACACTAGGCCCATGTAGTAAAGGTGTAAATGATTAGCCCTTACCCACTTTCCCTGTGTACCCCTTTGAGATAGCTTTGACTATAAAAGGCAGTGAGATTCCCCCAAATCCAGGAGGTTATAAAAGGTCACCTGAGACAATAACCGGCACTTCTCACTTCCTTTCCCTTGTGAGAAGGGTCTTGCCAGCCCTTTTACCAGCAATAAACCATTTCTTCATTCTTTGTACCTGGATGTCCGCGTGATTTTCTGGCAAAGTCGAAAATACTCCTAACCTTAACAAACTTTGCATTATTCAGATACTGTTTTTAACCTCTTGAGTGCCAGCATGTAGTACATGTGGATCCTTGTGCCTGTCCTGGGGCTTGAACTCAGCTCACCTGAGCTTTTTAGCACTCTACCAGTTGAACCACAGATCCACTGCTAGCATCTTTTGTACTTAATGGACTTTCCTGCCCAAAGTGGCTTCAAATGTCAAGATTCCCAGAACCTGGAGACTGCAGAAGATCAAGAGTTCAAAGGCAGAGACAAGTGCTAGTGGTTTACTTGTATAATCCCATCTTGTTCAGAAGGCTGAGACCTGGAGGAGTGAGGTTCAAAGTCAGTGTGGGAAGAAAAGACTTGATATTCTTTCTACAATTAGCAAAAGAGACGGCTCAAGGGATATACAGCACCAGCCATGAGCAAAAAAAAAAAAAAAAGCTGAGTTAAAGCCTCCGCCAGACACAGGAGATTATGTAAATGAGTGGATCCAGGCTGAGGCATCCTATTGGTCTCCATGGCAGGATGGCGCGTTAGCCAATGAGAGCGCTCCGCGGACAATCCGCATTCTTCCTATAAAAGGGTAGCGCGGGCGAGGTCGCGGCACTTTTCCCAGTTGCAGGGCGGAGCTCGGTGGTGTGCGGCGGCAGTGATGTCTGGTCGGGGCAAACAAGGAGGCAAGGCCCGCGCCAAGGCCAAGTCGCGGTCTTCCCGCGCCGGCCTGCAGTTCCCGGTGGGGCGCGTGCACCGCCTGCTGCGCAAGGGCAACTACGCGGAGCGGGTGGGGGCCGGCGCGCCGGTGTACATGGCGGCGGTGCTGGAGTACCTGACGGCCGAGATCCTGGAGCTGGCGGGCAACGCGGCCCGCGACAACAAGAAGACGCGCATCATCCCGCGCCACCTGCAGCTGGCCATCCGCAACGACGAGGAGCTCAACAAGCTGCTGGGCAAGGTGACCATCGCCCAGGGCGGCGTGCTGCCCAACATCCAGGCGGTGCTGCTGCCCAAGAAGACGGAGAGCCACCACAAGGCGAAGGGCAAGTGAGGCGGGTCCCGTCAGCGCGCCCCTCGCCAGGCTCCTTCGTGGCCGCGAAATCAAAGGCTCTTTTCAGAGCCACCCACTGTTTCAAATGAAGAGTTGTCACGCGAAGTAGCCGGTGTCCGCCTGTCCGTGCGGGGCCGGGCGAGCGGGGAGGGAGGCGGGTGCGGAGCGTCGGTTCGCTTCCTCGTCCCAACGGCCCGTCCCGTCCGACTCCCGGGAAAGTTGGCCGCCGGCCGCGCCGCGGGCGTCCGTGCCGAGTGTGTGGTCCCTCGCTGGTGTCGCTGCAGGCCCGCCCTGCGCTTCCCGAGCTCCTGTCCCACACTTGGACCTAGTGCCGGGGCCACCGTGGGCCTCGTGGGTTGGCGCGAGCTGGGCTCGCATCGCCCGCCCTGGCTTAGTCTCGGGAGCGCCGCGGCCCCTCGGCAACAACACACTCCCCGAGGCCCCCTCCAGTCCGGGTCTCCGCGCTGGGGCACGGGAGCGTCGGCCGGCGGAGGGCGGGGCTGCTTGAAGGCAGAGGAGGGCGGGCAGCGGACCACCCCAGCTACACACGGTGGTCGCACGGGACTCGGGCTACAGGAGCGCAGGCCGGCAGAAGGCGGGGCGGGGCGGGGCGGGGCTGTCTCAGGGGAGGGAAGGGCGGGCTGAAGCCCAACCCCAGCTACCGACGGTGGGTGGTCCCGGACAACCGTGGAAAACCAGGTGCGTTGGGGGGTGGGGGGAAGTACTGGCCGAGAGGAGAGCAGGAAGTGCCGCGGGGGGGGCGGGACGGGGCGGTCCGCGTTCTGCCAGAGCCAACCGGGAGCGCTGGGGCGAGCGACGTCACGGCCAATGGGCGGCCAGCGCGGGCCTTTCAAATCCCTGGCGCCCAATGGGAAAAAGACGTCGCCTATAAAGTGTGTAGCGGGGGTGGCCTGCCGTCCGTTTCTGTGTGCGCGCTCGTGCCGAGTGTTTGTGAGACCGTCGCCATGGCCCGCACGAAGCAGACGGCGCGCAAGTCGACCGGCGGCAAGGCCCCGCGCAAGCAGCTGGCCACCAAGGCGGCCCGCAAGAGCGCGCCGGCCACGGGCGGCGTGAAGAAGCCGCACCGCTACCGGCCGGGCACCGTGGCCCTGCGCGAGATCCGGCGCTACCAGAAGTCGACGGAGCTGCTGATCCGCAAGCTGCCGTTCCAGCGGCTGGTGCGCGAGATCGCGCAGGACTTCAAGACGGACCTGCGCTTCCAGAGCTCGGCCGTGATGGCGCTGCAGGAGGCGAGCGAGGCCTACCTGGTGGGGCTGTTCGAGGACACCAACCTGTGCGCCATCCACGCCAAGCGCGTCACCATCATGCCCAAGGACATCCAGCTGGCCCGCCGCATCCGCGGGGAGCGCGCTTAAGCTCACCCGGCGGCCCTCGGCAAGTTCCATCGCATCCAAAGGCTCTTTTCAGAGCCACCCACTGCGCCCTCGGAAGGAGCTGTGGCCTTGTTGATGTGTTTGTGTCCCCCCCCCATATAACATAGTATGTGCCGTTAAACAGTGTTTTCCCTGTCGTGGTTCCTGCAGACAACAAGAGGTTGTGCCTTCTCCCTGCCTGCTGCAGCCATAGCCCCTCAGGCCCGGATAATCCTGGCCCTAGGCCCGGCCTGCTGGAGGGGCCGGACAGGAACGGGCAAGCCTCACGGTTCCACAGATCCGGGCCTCCGGATGGGGTGGCGTCTCGCAGGCTGACGTTACTGCCCTCAGGCCAGTCCGCCGACGAGAGAACGGGCGCAGGCCACGTACAGGCTGCGGGCTCTCCGTCCTGAGGGGCGTGGGATAGCGAAAGACGGAGTTGAGAGCTGCGGAGTTTGCCGGAGTAAGTACAGCAGGCCTGACGAGGGCAGCGCCAGCCTCCAGAGGCTATTTGGGGCCTCTGTCTAGGCCTGCAGAGGAGGGCGGAAAAGGACAAGCCTTCCGCTTTGGAGGTTTGCAGAACAGCTAATAAAGGTCGGGCCTGCCCATTGGAGGTTTGGACGTCGAAGTTGTTATTGGTTCTCGGTTATCTAGCCCAGGACAAGGGAGTCGCAGGCCCCCTTTCTGGTGTAAATCCAAAAAAAAAAAAAAAAATGTCACTTTTAACTGTGCCTCGATGGGTTGTCTCTCTCTTGGGAGATCATGTCTGTCTGTCCGTCGAGTTTGGGTGTGTGCGGGTCTCACCGTTTGCACAGTGTCGGTAATCCAAACAGCTTTTTCAGTGGAGCCCATTTAGGGCCGGCCACCTCGAAACTAGGACGTTGAGGACTGAGGGCCAAAGGGGAGGGAGGAGGCGCTCTTAACTGACAGGCGACTTGTAAAGCCTGCTTCCAGACGCTGTGAGGAGCTTTGGGCTTGTTGGCTCTTGTTCTGCCTTCTATAAGGCGGTTCTTAGGGCTTGTACCCAGGACGTAGACCCCACCCAAGGCGGCTTCCCTAGACTTCCACTTGGGTCTGAGTTGGGAAGTCGTCTTCTGATCCTGGCTGTTTTTTAGGTGAGTATGTCTCAGTTATCCCCAGTGCCTCTCATCCCTGCCTTTGGTCATTTCTACCAATTGTATCTGAGCTTGTTCACACGTTATTAACACCATTTATTCTTGTGACTTCTTTTAAGTGATTTCATTCTACCAAGAACTAGAAAGTGGGGCAGCCCCTTGTGCCCAAGACCTAAGACCCTTTCCATTTCTCCATTGTTTTGTAATAGCCAGGAGCCAACTTTCTAGGATGTGGGCACACACCACGATGTGTGGACCCTCCCACCACCAGAATCCTGAACCAAATACACATACATCTTTATAAAGTATCTAGCTTACAGTATTTTATCTTTGTGTGTGTTTGTTGTTGTTGTTTTTCAATCTTGGGGCTTGAATTCTGGGCTTAGGCGCTGTCCCTCAGCTCTTCAGCTCAAAGCTAGTGCTCTGCCACTTGAGCTACAATGCTACTTCCAGTTTTCTGGGGGCTAATTGAGGTAAGTATCAGACTTTCCTGCCCAGGATGGCTTTGAATCGTGATCCTCAGATCTCAGACTCCTGAGTAGCTAGGGTTACCGGCATGAGCCATTGGCACCCGGCTTAGTATTTTATAATAACAAAAAAAGAGGGGCGGGGGAATATTAAGGCAAATTTCAAAGCAAGATGGCAAACAACTTAAGACCTTCCTGTGGCCTTGGGGTTTTTGAGAACAACTTGTATGTACCATGGCTGAGGTAATCAAGGGCTTCTATTTTAGTCTTAACCTTCCTCCTTCCGGTCCTTTCTGTCCCTTACCTTTCTGTCCCTTGCTATGATTGAAGTGCTTATTCACCAAAGCTCACTTCTAAGGAAGAAAAGTGTGAACTCAAAAGGAGGAATTTTGGGTGATCCAGGGCCTGGTCCCTCTTGGCTGTAGAACAGCCTCCCTAATTAGTCTTTCTAGTTTCTAGTTAAAGGTGAAGCTTTCAGACAAAAGTAGAGAACATGTAGCCCTTGGGAATTGATTTGGTAATGATGGAACATTTCTGCTCTACCTGGCTGCCTGTATTGGTAATCTCATATGCCCTATACAAATAATGTCAATATCCAAATGGCCCTTGGCAGAAAAAAGTTTCTCCATCTGAGCAGGGAAAGACCTTGCCTGCCTCTTGTTCCCTTTTACAAGGCTACTATACAGACAAGCCGCTGGACTTTGACCATTGAAGAATGGTCAGGCCTGCTTCTGCAGACATCTGCTATAGAGCTTGCATGAATTAAATTTGTGTGCATGTGCTGGTCCTGGGGCTTGAACCCAGGGCCACAGGCTCTTGCTTGGCTATTTGGATCACAGCTTGCACTCTACCACTGGAGTCATACCACTACTTCCAGCATTTTGCTGCTGATCAGAGATAAGAATCTCAAGGACTTTTCTGCCAGGGTTAACTTTAAACCAAAATCCCCAGATCTCAGACTCCTGAGTAGCTTGGATTGATTACAGGTATGAGCAAGAATATCCAGCAATTTGGGGTCTTGTGAAAGAAGGGACATCCAGTTAGAAAGGGTGATTGGAAGCCGGGCGCCGGTGGCTCATGCCTGTAATCCTAGCTACTGAGGAGGCTGAGATCTGAGGATCACGGTTCAAAGCCATCCTGGGCAAGGAAAGTCCGTGAGACTCTTTATCTCCAATAAGACCACTAGAAAACCGAAAGTGGTGCTGTGGCTCAAGTGGTAGAGCGCTCCCCTTGAGCTGAAGAGCTGAGGGGCAGCGCTCAGGCCCAGAGTTCAAGCCCCACAACTGACCAAAAAAAGAAAAAGTGATTGGAGTGATATTTCCAAGAGCCAAAACCTAACCTCAGTTTCCAGAAGCTGAAGAGTCAAGGAACTGACTCTCCTTGGGACCTCCAGAAGGAACCAGTCCTTCAGCTACACATTTTAGGCACATATGACTCATAAAGACTCTGACCTCCCAAAGCACAAAAGAAATAAATTTATGTTTTAAATCGCTGTGGTTAATTGGTTAAAGTAGTGATAGGAATTAATATGCCATTCTGACACAAAAGACTGCTTTGGGCAGAGTATAAAGTGTAGTTAAAAGGCAAGAGGGAGGCAGGGAAAAAAGAAAAGAGGGATGGGAAATAGAAGACTTGAGATCTATGATGATCCTTTTCTGGCTGCAGAGCAGCTCCTTCCTTCATGGGCCTGTAAAACCTGTCTAACTCACCCTAGAATTTCCTAAAAAGCATCTCCTTTCTTTGCAAGTGGTACTAAGCTCTCCTTGACAATGGTGGGCCTACTCCAGCTGTGGACCTGTAGGGTTATTCAGACCATCCCAGGCAGAAAAACCACAGATTGCCTTCACTGTGAGCTTGGAGCAGCAGTGGCAGCCTCTGCTTGCTCTTAAGGAAAAGTCATTTCTGTGCAGCTACAAGGATGCTGGATTTATTTCCTACGGCTGTCCAACAGAGTCCCAGAAAACATCAACTTATTTTCTCAGACTTGGAGCTCAGAAGTCTGAAATCAAATTAAAATGCTCCATCCAAAGGCTAAGGGATTATCCTTGCTTGTCCCTTTCACTGCCTGGTGACTCCTAGGATTCCTTGGCTTGTGGTGGCACAAATCCAGTATGCTGCCATCTCTCTACACTGATTTCTTCCCTATGTCTCTGTGGTCCAAATTCCTCTCCCTTCTAAGGGCATTAGTTATTGAATGTAAAGGCCACCCTAAGTCAGGATGGTTTCATTTTAAAAGTCCTTAATTGCTGGGTGCCAGCAGCTCATGCTTATAATCTTACCTATTTAGGAGGCTAAGATCTGAGGATCACAATTCAAAGACAATCCAGGAAAGTTTGTGAGACTCTTCTCTCTAACCACCAAAAAAGCAAAAAGTGGTAGTATGCTTGCCTCAAGGGTAGCACTCAGGCCCTGAGTTCAAGCCCCAGGACTTGCGCACCTGCGCGCACGTGTATGCACACATACACACACACAAAGTCATTAACTAATTACATCTACAAAAACTATTTCCAAATGAAAAAGGAGGAAATATCAATAGACACGGAGTAGCCAAGATTCTAAACAGGTAGTTGGCAAAATATGTAAGTTAACTTGCAGTGGAGGGGCAAACGGAATCAAGTAGGCATCCAAGGCCTCAAAAGCCAAGTAACTAGCCTTGGTGACAAACATAAGGGCACTAAAAATGAGAGCTGGGAACCAGCCACGGCAAACAGGCAGGAGGGGAAACAACTGACTGTTGCACACAGAGGCTTGTTTGAGCCTGGATGGTAAGGCAGAGCAGAGCTGTTGAGGCAAAAAGCAATCAAAGATGACTCTGGACCTTCCTGTCTGGGTCTCTGGGAGGGAGGTGCCACCTCCATGGGGACAGGGGCCTGGGAGGAGGAGCTGCTGAAGCGCTCATTTCAGGCCACTCCAGGACATGCTGGAGGTAGAGCTGAAGACTTAACTGGCTTCTCCCACCTGCCCAGAGGAAGTAGAGGCTGCCCAGAAACAGTCCTCTTGGAACAATAGGCAGAGCATTTTATCTCAAACCAGAGGGGAGGAAAATGTAATAAGGAAATTGGACTCTATAATTTTTATGTACTGTAGGGCAATAATAGTCTGTAGTTCTATGAAATGCATAAAGGCCAATGTATTAACAGATCCTCAGATTATTTGTAATTTATAACTTTTTTCAGTGATGGGGATTAAACCAAGATCTTGTACTTGCTAGGCAAGTACTTTACCAGCTATTGGGTAATAGCTGGTAATCCAGGCAGACCTCCAACTCAGGATTCTCCTGCCTCCACCTCCCAAATGCTGAGATTAAAGATAGGTGTCACCACACCTGACATAATCTGCAAATTGTAGACAAATATTTTAGTAAAAGTCAGTAGTATTGGAGTATACTCAATAATGTCAAGTTATTCCAACAGTATAAATATTAGCACCTTCCTTTGTAAAAGAGAGAATTTAAATTTGGGGGC